TCACTTCAGAATACTAGTGGAAAATTTTCTCATATTTTTCTACTGGATTAAGGTCTTTGATTCTTAAGGGTTAGTCTTAAAGTACCCTTCGTTCTAAACTTTTTAGTAGAAAGTCAAAAGAAAAATCCCACTTGAGAATAGAAAACTTTTAAGAGTGGTCGGGCAGCACAGCATGGCACGCTCCTACTCTGTGAAAAGTCAAAATGTATAAGGTGTTTGTCATAGCGCGCCACAGTCAGAGCACCCAAAGAAATATGAATCACATATTTTAATAGAAGAATGAGCGATCTAGAAAACGGTCGACCCACATTTTTTTTCTTTCTCTTCCCAGAAAAGGTGCATTTTTCTTCGCTCATTAAAAAGTTGCATTTTTTCAAAGTAAAAGCCTGATATCTCAGTGACGTGATAAGCTAAAGAGAAGAAATTTAGTATGGTAGTGAGAGACACAGGGAGGAATAGGGAATAGCACCAAATCTTGCGCATTTTCTAAAAGGTGCATGTTTTTCAGATCAAAAATCTCTAAGCCTTACCAAACATTGTGTGTCAGACATAACCACTTTTGTCTGCTCTATCCGAAACTGCTGCTAGATGTTATCAAATGTGTAAGAAAGCTGCCAGATTTGGCAGAGTTTTGTCACAACGAGGGAAAAAAGCACGTCTCATCAAACCCCCCAAAAGTTACGATTCACTCATATATATATTTATATATACAATAGTATCTATAGAAACGACTTATACATTCTTACTGCACCACTATACCCTAAAAGCTATTGGCCTTACAGAACTTTACGTAACTCACCAATTTGGAAACAAATAGAAGTAATTTTTTAAATTCCAGGGACTAGGAACGTATCATGTACTCTCAGGCAGGTCCAGATAAATTTCAGATTTGGTCGGATAGAGCAAGACTCGGCCACGAAATTTTCTACATCGGATTCAGCCAGGTTGAAAATTTTCGGCCCATGCGTATCTCTGCTTTCGATATTCCAATGTGCAATTATGCAACTTGAAATTGTACATCGATTAAAAAAATCTAGCCATGACTAAAGGACATTCTCTACACCCTCTAAAAAACTCGTCGGTGATCATTTCTCGTCGTTGAAGTTTTCAATTGTAGATTATCGTGTTTTTATCCATTCATCTATTCTTCTCAAAAGAAGAAACCCTTTGAATACCACATACATTTTTTTGCAAATTGTCATTTAGATTTGGAAATCAATTGAAATAATAACGGTTAATGGATTTAATTTAAATCAATCTGTATCGTCAAATTTACTAATAAAAATAAACGAACAATTTCCAAATCTTAAATGTTTGAAGTTCCATTTAAATTTGCATTTTGAAGAAAATAATAATGATATTGTTTTAAAAAGTTCTACATTAAGAACGGTTCGCACAATTGAACTTTATCGAATACAACAGCAACAGCCAAATATAAAATTATTACCACAATTTTTACCAAATCTATGTACATTAAATATTGATTATTTCAGTTTATGTAAAATAACAAAATTGTTTTCAACATATGAATACGAGAACAGGTTTTTAAGAGATCAAATTAATGAATTAAATATCGATTTTGAATCGCATTTTTACAGTTTAAATGACATTGATTTATTATTTATCTATTTCTATAAAATAAAAATTATAACATTTTTATTTAAATTTAAAGTAACAATATTTTCAGCATCATCAATTGTTTATGAAATTTTATTACAATTATTAAAAACAACAACAACAACGACTCCCTTAGCTTACTTAAAAATACATTTTTGGTTAAATACAATTACAGACGACGATATAGATTGTTTTAAAAACAAATTAATTCTATATTTTAATAATGATGAAAAAATGTTTAATATACATTATGATCAAAGCTCCTTAGAATATTGGACATAAGACAATTTTTGTTTGATGTTTCTACACTGTATACTAAGAGATTTACAACTTACTACTATAAATACTACTATAAATACTGTTCGTCATATGATCACATTCATTTTACTTGTTCTAAAGAAAAATGACGTCCTCATCTATAACTACTGTCGAAACTATTGAAGTTGATAACAATGAAACACTCTTTTACGATGCAGTACAAAAACACATAGACTCTCTACCAGAGAAATATCGAGAAAAAAGCGTCATTAAACAGAATGCATTTGAGCGTATTGTTAAAGGTTTGTTGTTGGAAAAGGGTAAGTTATCAAATTTATTTTCATCACAGTTTCTTTTTTGGGTTAGAAAAAATTTCATTTTATTAAAAATAGCAGGTATTGATATTGCATGTTGTGCCAAAACCAAAAAACCGGTATGTGTCTTTGAGTCGTTCTACAATGTAATAAAAGAAAGTTATGTAAACGTTTCTCATGAAGGTCGCAATAAGACTATTTTCGAAATAAATTCTCAGTATTCTTAGATTCCACGATTTGCTGTCGAGATTTTTTGAGAGGATGTGTAGCATGTCAGTTCACAAAACCGATAAAACAAAACACGTCGTGTCGAAACCCATAATATCATTGGATGTAATGACTAGATTACAAATTGAGCTTGTTGATATGAGGGTTGAGTTTATAACAATAAACTACATCATGATCACCCAAAAAAGTAAAAACATTTTAAAAAACAAACAAAGCACAAGGTTTAAAAGCGCCTTTTTTCTAAGGATAAAGTCTCTCGCTGACGTTTGTCAATCTACTTTATTAATCTAATTGATACGATGGCGTCAGGCTATCAGCTTAAACGCATCCTATCGTTTGTGATAAAAGCGTATCAGTTAACCTAATTGATGCGGACATTATTTAAAATCTAAATGATGACTACCTTTTTTGCGATGTATTACTAAGAATCGTGCAGTTCATCCTTCACTCTCCCACAACTCCTTTTTTCAACTTCACCATGTTTTCCAACTGCTACACAATTATTTTAATCAATTATCTATAATCAAAGACAGCATCTTCACATTTCTTATCTGTCGCAGAAAAGCTGACGTTTCAATGCAGTTACATAGCTCATGAGATACCATAGCATACGATAGCAATTAATAAGACACAATCAAATGCTAGAGATTTAATGTCAACATAATTGCAGATGATGCTAGTCATCCTACTGTCTACTTCCACAACGTTCAACTTGATCGAAATTGATCGTAAACACATGACCGATGCCTTCATTTTTTTATTATGTTTCTTAAGGCGAACCTGCACGGGTGAAAGAACTTTAATATTACTTAGTGAATAAATTTATTGGCAGGACTTTATTAATCAATGAATCACGTGTGAATGG